TGGTAAAGTGGTAAAGTCAAATGTCATAAAGTCAAGTGTTCGTAAAGTCAAGTGTACTTGACCCCATGTATTCTCTATGTATTTTCTCTGCGGGGCTCCGCACGGAAGAACCCTTCGCGATGCTTTCGGGAACTAACACAAGAATCCACAATTCCGAGGCGTCGACGGCTGAGCACACCTCTGCATCGCCGATGAGGTAGATCTTGGAACATCCAGCCCCGAAGAAAGCCTGCATTTTCTGGGGCTTTTGCCCCTGGCCCAGGAAGTCGGGGGCTAGCTAGGGAGGATGACTTCGGCAATGCTACCCTTGGCTTTTCTATGAGACCTTGGAACACGATGTTTCTGGGTTTAAAACCGTCAGACCTGTCGATCTTCCGTAGCCTCAGATTTTGGAGCGGACTTAGTACTCTGGAAAGTACCAAGCAAGTCTGTATCCCGATTGGGCATCGGCACTGCTTCATCGCGACACTGATGTGTTCTAGGCACTCGGTAGCATGTCATGCTTCTGTATGATCTGGCACAAGGTTCTGCACGACAGTGCTACAGCACTGTGTATGCCGTGCTGGCTTCGACCTTCTTGCAAGACTTTCTATTTGCGCTACAAACGCTCATATTCCGATGGTCCTCCGATCAGCCTTTCCGTTGCCACAGGCTTATCCAGCTCTACGTTGTTCACAGGTACACCACTCTATCTAACTCTACATTGCGATCCATTGTTGCCAGTTTTGGAACCTCTCAACTTAAAGTGAAGAACGGCAAGGTAAGCCCTCATCCCTGAACCTTCTATGCTTAGCCCTAAAATCCGACAACTCCAAAGCCTCAAACTGCCGTTCGGAAGCCAAGCCAAGCCCAAGTACGGGGCTTAGTTGTGAATGAATGGCTAAATTCAATATGCGTGTATGCCTGTATGCCCCCGTGTTTCTATGCGTACGTATACATATACATATACATTTATATATATATATATATACATATATATACATATATATACACATACATATATACATAGATGTACATATATATATATATATATACTGTACATGCATGTATGCATGCATGAAGGCATGCAGGCATGTATGTATGTATGTATGTATGTATGTATGTATGTATGTACGTATGTAGTATGTATATATGCACATATGTATGTATAGGTGTACACATCTATTCACAAATCTACTTATCTGTTCCTTATGTATTTATGTATCTATGCCGTGGTTATACCTAAAGTTAAATTCATATCTAAAAATATATTTTCAGGTATAGGTAATGTCACATTTGTAATTATATCTATGTTTGTATCTGTGTCAACATTCTTGGCTATGTACTAGGGTTGCCCGCATATTCATAATGGTATTTACGTACATAGGAACATGTATATATAAATGCGCATGCATACATACAAATCTACTACATGTAGTTAATTCCTCATCTATCTCTACATATGCATACACATGCCTACATGTACAAATGCATGTGCAGATATAACATACATATACATGGTGGCATAGGCATATACATGTGTAAGTTTATGTGTGTATATGTACATACGGATGTAAATGCCATGCTTGTATGCCCATGTGTACACACATATGTATGTATGTATGTATGTATGTATGTATGTATGTATGTATGTATGCATGTATGTATGTATACATGTACACACATGCATGCATGTCTATATATATATATACATGTATGTGTATGTGTATATATACCAATGTATACATACATACATACATACATACATACATACATACATAGGGCTTACGTACGTACATACATACATACACATATATATATATATATATGTATATATACGTGCTTTCCGAACCCTGGCCCAGAAGTTTGAACAGACAATGCCAGCTACCAGCCACGACTGGAATAGGCCTGGATGCCGGTGATCAGGCAAATTACGAGAGAGATGATGAACCTCACGTTTCAGCTCCGAGGCTTACGGCATACTCTGGTTGCAAGGGATGATCAAACATCAGGGCTTAACTAGCGCACTCGTGGCTAACATCTTCCATGTTTTTCCAAACCGTGCTCCTGGAGATTGATAACCGGGATGGTCTGATTTCGAGCAACCAGAAAGCCAGTTTGGGAAGCCTCCAGGACCTCTTTGGGTGGGGGGGTGCGGCTTCGCATCGGATTTAGAGCACCAGGTGGCATTAGGAGGACGATCACCTGCGCCAGCAACAACATCGACCAGAAGCAGAGGTGGCCGGAGGTGCAACTTCGGCAACAGGCCTGGGTCACTCTTTGGAGTCCTTCTTTATGGGGTCTTGATTAAGGGTTGCTATGAAGGTCACTAGAGTTCTGTGAAGGGCCAAGGGTTCTATCAGCATTACTAGTGAGCTTGTTTTGCATAGAGAACTGACAACCTGTCTACTTGCTTGCAACTTTGCACAAAGGCACAGACGCATGCATACATACATATAGATACACACATGTACAGATGCACGTACAGAAGATGTCTGCATCAAGTATGAGGAGGAGGAGGAGGATGCAAGACTGATGGCGATTAAGATGACAGCAACGGTGGTGCTGCTTTTCACCGTCATCATCATCATCAACCTCAGCATCATCATCATCATCATCTGCATGCCGTTTTACAAGGCTTTGGACAGAAAATTTTCCTGCACGTCGGACCGCAATGGCATTGTCGACATGCACCTAGATGCGAATCTAAAGCAAACTATGATGCGTGTTGAGAGGACATACGCTACTTTTAGCGGTAACATCGTGCAGAGATAGTTGGCCTTTGTATGCATGTGTATGTGGGTACATACGAACATATATATATATATATAATTTGCGTGTGTCTCTGTCTGTCTGTCTGCCTGCCTGCCTGCCTGCCTTCCTGCCTGGCTGCTTGCCCGCCTGTCTGTCTGCCTGCCTGGCTGTCTGTCTGTCTCTGTCCGTCTGTCCGTCTGCATGTCTGTCTGCCTACGGAAATACCAAATACAGTACGTGAAAAACACAGGGTAAAGTTACTGTGAAAACTTGCACCGACAGTAGCTTAGCTTGAAATACACAGACAACGAAGACATCAACCAAGAGAAAAATGTTCCTCCCATGCTCCGCAAAGCTACGAGGCAGCTACCGCAGCATGTTCGGATTCTTTCCACGAAGGTCTGCGGCGGCTGGTACTCAGACTCCGGAAGATCTGCCTGCGTTGCGTAGGAGGATTGGACAGCTTGCGTGTTTATGCATATAAATACATACATATATGCATACATACATACATACATACATACATGCATGCATGCATGCATGCATGCATGCATGCATGCATATATGTGCATTTAAGGTATTTGTATGTTTGTTTGTACCTTGCCTTGGCAAATGTAGAGCAACCGAGCGAGAGAGAGAGAGAGAGAGAGCTTTGAAGGAGATACACACCCTACATCCTAAGCTCTGATCCGAACCTTCAACTTCATGCCCAAAATTCCATAAGCAAGTCTTGTGGGTTCGGACCTGGGGTCTCTACAGAGACGGCAGTGGGAAAGTTGGTTCTGAGCACGGACAGTCATAGAAGCAAAGAAAGGTCTCAATAGTCCTCCCACCTGCTGGGATTGCTACTGAAACTACTGTTGTACAAGCTTCCAACAAGAAAACGCATGGTGCACCTGCGGGCCACCAAACCATCCGTTTGCCCAGAATCCATAAAAGAGCCTCGCAAAGCACGACACATGGCATATCGCCTACGGAAGTCTCAATGGTCCAGGTCAGTTGCACATCACTTACAATCAATCTGCACAGTCTCGCATGTTCTTTACGAAACATCTATCATATGCTGCCCTTTCGGGTTTCTCGGTGAGGAAGCAGCTAGCAACTGCTTCTAAGCATCCTCCCCGAGACCCAAACTCTCATTCAGGCAGGCTTAGGAAGCGCAACTTTGCGAGAATCCCGTCTGGAAGTTTATTGCTGCCAGGCAGACATTGTTGCGCTGAAGAGGAAGAAGAACACGAAGTATGCGATCCACACGATTCTCGGCTGCAGCATGAGAGACCCAGAAGAGTCAGAGGGAGACCGAGTCTAGCAGCCAGGCACATCAAACCCTTGAAGAGCAAATGCCCAAATTCTGGTCCAGCAATAGCTTTACTTCCGTGCCAGGTATCTTGTAGATCATGCCCATCTGGTCCATGAGTGGAGGTGCTTTGAGTCCGAGCATCTGAACAGCTTCACACAGAGCTCGACTTGCGGGATCCTAACCGCAAACCCCAAGCCCAAACCATGGAAACTTCAGGGCAGGATGGCAGCCGGAACTCCCGAAACGTAGTCCTGTGAAGCGTGCAGCTGCCATGTACATACTCATCATAGTTGATCATATGCTGCCCGAAGCTGACGACGATGTGATGATCCGGCTAATGATGGCCGTGATGAAGATGCCCGTCATTAACATCATCAACAACATCGAACTACCATCGGTGAGCATGGTCATCCTCAATAGCCACACATGGTAGTTTGTCTTTGCCTTTGCCTTTGCTTATTGGTGGGAATAGGGGGGGAGATCAGTCCGAGACCCTGTGATTCCTGCAACTCTTGGTTTCGGTAATCAGTCCTACTAGCTGTTTGCCACCATTCACACTCTTGCTCTCATTTCTCAAGGTGGTCGCGAGGTGCTGAAGCAGTATACTTGCTACCTTGATCCCAACGTGAACATCATGGCAAGCACCGTTGAGCATTCACCGTGAAGCCTTTGCATCCATCGTCCAATCCGAAAATCTAGACCCAACAGACTGGGAGTTGCATTCCTGGTCATGCATGTTGCACAAGAGACGTCCTAAACCCAATTGCCTGCGAGATGGAGTTGATCACCCCACTGATGAGCGACACCTCCTTCCTTCGCAGCGTCGGTGTCTGTATGGGTGTCAGTGGGGCTGTGCGTGTGCGAGTTTTTGTCGAAACTAAACACAACCTATGTACATATGTTCGGTGTGTGTAGATAGATATATATATATATATATGTATACATACACACATCCATACATGCAAATATACATGTGTATATGTGCCTATTTTCGAAGCGTCGTAGGCAACTGTTGCCTAAGCCTGGCTGCTTGAGCTTCTCTGCAAAGAGCTCGGATCAAATTCCGTCAAGCTCTTTCACATTTAATTCGAATATCTCCCGAGTGCCCTTGCCATAGCTAAAGTATCTTATATATTCTACCTATCATAGAGACCAGAAGGAGATATTAAAACCCTATTCTAGCTCAGAAGGACGGAAGCCACGCAGTTTTCGAGGGTTTCGGGGCGGTTCAACTCCAGAGCGTGGAAGCTCCATGAGTTGAGGGCTGAAGAGCTGGTGAACTGAAGCTGATATAGGGGGTTTGGGCTTTAAAGGTTTAAGGCTTTGGGCTTTGAAGGTTTAGGGCTTTTAGGGTTTAGGGTTTAAAGGGGCTTAGGGTTTTGAAGGTTTAGGGCTTTTAGGGTTTAGGGTTTAGAGTTGAGGGTTTAGGAGGCCTTACCAATTGAAATTCTGAAATACGGCTGCGCGGGTGGAAAGGGGGCGGGGGTCGTGGTATATTCCAGAATAGACTTATCTCAAGGAACCTTAAGGAATATTATTGCCGCTTGTCCGACCCCTAGATTAGAGGCACTGAAGTCTGGCAAGCAGCTTCGCCGTCGTCAAAGCCTTGATCACCTGCCAACAAGTGCACTTCAGAGCGAACCCCTAGACCCGAAAATTGGCGTTTAGAGCTTAAACCCTAAACACCTATAGCCTCTAGAATCAGACAACCCGTTTCTCCACAATCATACGCAATGGATGATGGGTCCTGCAAGAACTTGATCACAGAGACTGTTGTTAAGTGCATGCACTTCCCTATCAAGTCCATACCTGAATGACGTTGCCATACTGCGGTAGGAAGAAAGTTTGACCTACTCCTTGTTTCGTCGAACACAGGACCCCATTCCCCTGCAGCACTCCTCCAGAGCATTAAAGTAGTGTAATTTCAAAACGGGGAATAAAATGCTCCGCTGGCCAGACCACGTAATTCGAGCTTCTCGGCACTCCGCTACTCCGCAAGACGTCTTGAGACAAGAAAGGTCCAATAGGTCAAAACTTTTGTCCTCCCGATGTACTCTTGCGGCTTTACATGCGCGGTAGATTTCAACCAGCCGGGCAGCTTCGATTAGGCGCCGCTTAAATATGCACGACACACCCGCACAGCAGCCTTGAAACGAAAGGCCCCCCGTTGTTCACTGTCCAAGCTCGCGGAGCAACACATCCTGAGCAAAAATGAAGGATAGCTCCATGCGCCTGCGGGAGGCTGCTCTGCAGATCCTTCATCGTGTCCGTGAGGAAGGTAGTCGCCCCACTGAGATGCATGGTGTAGTCCTCGGCACTCACAGGTTCAGAGAGACTTGATGCTGCTCAAGACTTGGAAGACCTTGCAATAATGGCTGAAAGCTCACGCTTCAAGGTCACCTTGTCTCCGTGGCAAATCTTGGGACCGAAATCGGAACTCTGCATCCCATACCCCCGTCCCCCCATATGAGTCGGTCGTTTTTGTCTTTAGGTTGAAGCGAGGCGGCTGTGTCTCTGATAAGTTTGCACGCCTCAGCATTGCCGGCGGAGCACCTGGAAGTGTTTTTGGCGGTAGGTCTTGCGTTTCAGAATGTAGGATTTGGGTTTTGAGGGCCTCGGGTTAGAGGATTGCATATAGTTTTCTGCACACATCTGGGACTCTGGGTGCAGCCGTTCCTGCACAGAACGACGTCGGATTTGCTGTGGCTTGCATGATGCGTTAAGGTAAAAACTTGTTACCAATGCATAACAACGCAGTATTAAGATTAGACTACATTGCATTGGCATTACACATCTGTTGTTTGCAGTGGGCTTGTGTTACTATATTTTGCGGCCCAAACATGCATGCTACGATATACTTCTGCATGTCCATGACACCCACACACACACACACACAGAACGTTCAATGACACTTTTTTCCATCAATACCCATCGAATTCGAGCGAGTGCGTCTTACACTTGTATTCTTTGTATTGCATACAATGCATACAAACTTATGCACATTCGTCATACAAACTTATGCACATTCGTCTACATGCCTATCACATGCTTACCCGCATGCATGCATGCATGCACTCATGCAGGCATGCATGCATACATGCGCATGTATTACACCTTCACCTTCCTGTGATTCCTTTCCGCGAGCTATACCAAAAATATGGAACGAATTGGTAGGCGAGATCGTGCCACGTCATACTGAGCCACACCGTATCATCTTCAAAGATGCTTGCCTGTTTATAGACATTCCTTAGCGTGGTGTATATCTACACACACACATACAACATGCCTAAATATACACATAGATGTGTATGTGTATATATAAATATATATATATATATATATACATATTTCTGTACATAGACACTCTCGCCCAACGAAAGACTAGACTACGTGTCAAGGCGCTGGACGGAAGCAATACCTTCGTCGATGAGCTCCCCGGAGAGGAGCACCATATCTTGAAGGCTTCCTGAAGCGCATCTCAAGGTTAGGGCCTAGGCTTCACTATGGTTCTGGGTCTAGGCTTAAGGAGTAGGGTCTTGAATGAAAGCCACCACAGACAATCGCCAACTTGCATGTGGCTTGCCGATTCGAGCCACTAGCCACAAAGCCCCCTGAAGCCGCTGAGCCCAATGTTAAAGCAGATATCGGGAAGCTTGAAGCAGACTAGACACTCAATCCAAAAAGCTCTGCCGAGCCAGAGCTGCCTCTAAAAGGTTGACGGCTTGTCTTGCTTTGAGACTTGGAATCCTCGGCTGAAGCTCCATGTGCCGAAAAGGCTCCGTTGATGAAGTCATCTGCCTGCTTTTCGATGAATTCCGGTCCACCAGGGCCCGCATAGTTGTTCATCAACGTCCTACAACACAGCGATTCGAAAGGCTATGCTCTCATGCAAGAAGCCACATTGCAAACCGGCCGATGGAGATTGAACGCCCTTCCTAGCTTGACTCTGATCGCAAGTTGCACCTACATTCCTGCTTAGAACCCGCGCTGGCATCGGAGATCAGAAGACGCAGCTATGAGGGGATTATTGAGAATGGATTCCACAGAGATGCTTCTCAAGTCTCTGAGTCGGTTACGGTTTGGGGGAAGGCGGTTGCAAAACCAAGCCTTGGGCAGCTCGGCTCAGCTCCCATACTACTTACAAAGAAAGCTGATTTCCAAGGAGTAGAGGGCTTATTATTATTATTACTATTATTATTATTATAATATATATATATATATATATAGCTTTCTCGACCTTCGGGCCTAGCCCAGACTCGCAGCTAACATAGAAGCCTAACACCTCGAACAAGGCTTTGGGACACAATATACTAGGAGTACGGCAAGCCTTACCAGTTTGAACAAGGCTTTGGGGCTGCATCTTACGATAGTTGTCACAAGGACACCTTCAGAAGTATTGTTGGTCATTTAATCCTTGTGAGAAGCTCCCCTGCGTCCTTCCACCAACCTCCCCAGGCGGTCAGGGGGGCAAAAACAAGCGATGTGCCCTAAACCTGAGAAGGTTTTTAGGGCTTGAGGTTTTTAGGGCTTAGGGCTTTCAGGTTTTATTTTGGCCGAGGGTCAGGGCTTAGAGTCTATACCCTGTCCCCTAAACTTCAACCCATCCCGTCGGGGCAGCAGTTTCTTGCTCGGGATTCCGGAAGAGGCTAGGGGCCATTGAAGCAAGTATCAGGAAGCTCTGGGTCTTCTTGATCATTCCATTGATGCTGTTGCACGTCGAATCCTGGGCCAGAAAGCATGAAACGGACGACCACTTGTTGATCGTTCTTGTAGGTCGGGGTACTAGTTCACAGTTCGACTGGGATTCTTGCTATCGCTGTCTCAAGATCGACTTGCTCAAGGAGGGAACTCTCAACTAGGAATACCAAAAGGTCTGCAGACCTCATCCCTGCCTGTCACCCCTCTCTTGCTGGTATGAATGCTTGCGGCACGTCTCAGATCTATGCACACAGCGCTCTGATGAGTTTTGCTGCTGAGACTGTCGTCATTCGTGGGCACTTCAATGCTGCCTGTCAGTGTTTTGTCATGGCGATCGCGTCCCTCTTCGGGTTCGCTGCTGTTTCCGTTGTGTCTAGTGCTGTTTCTACCATGACAACTACTATGATTCTTAAGACCAGGTCCTTGCTGCGACAAGAGACGCACTGCTGTGGTCGCTTCTCATGTTGCGGCGGCTGCTGTCAATGTTATTACTTCTCATCATGGCCATGGTTTGTCCTTACAGAGAAGCTAACAACGAAACAAGAGTCCTGGAATACAGCGCTGTCGTTAGTCGTCTTATCTCGGCGTACAAGCTTGCTCGATTTGCTGTGGGTTCCACCATCTCGTCTACAGTTCACAATATTGAATTGCCCGGACTTTCTGGGTCTTCCAATTAGGTCGGGAGCTGTCTGGAACATGTGTGGACGGGCTTCCCGCAGGCCTTCTTTCAGCTGAGCATTTGGAATCGATTCTGGAGCATACAACTGTGCACGGCGATTGAACATAAAGCCAGACGGCATAATCTCAAGCTACATGATGTTTCGTTGCATGCGTTGCTCAGCCACTCCTCTGCCGAGATGCTAGAGGGTTGGAGGAGGAGCCCGAATACTGGTAGCACTGCTCGTTGAAGTCCTGTTTGCAGGAAGAGACTGCTTTCAAGTCCAAGGCTTAAGGGTTATGGGGCCGTATGTGCTTCAAAGGACCCGATGTGGCCCTCAACAAACCCTCAAAATACCCTTATAGAAACCCTTATAGATCCCCTAGTACCCTTATAGAAGCCCTTATAGATCCCTTAATACCCTTGTAGAAACCCTCATAGATCCCCTTATGAAAAAATGTAGGTCTCCAGCAGGCCATGGCTCTCGACCCTGACATCAGGGCAGGCACTGAGTCGAATTTCGCGTCCAAGCCAGCAGATTTTGGGCCATGTCGCTCCGAGCAGTAAACAAAAATATGTACTCTACATGTTGGTTTTTTATAAAGATACGACACGCACGCATGTTGGATTGTACTGTGCTGTGCTGTGCTGTGCTGTGCTTTGCT